CAATGTTCTACTAATACGACGAAGACGAATTTGGGATAAAGTGAAACAATAGCAACACGATAGATTCATACCGTGTGTAAGTTTTGTTCGAGTCATTTAAGTTTTTATGGTCGTTCGATAATGCCGTCTTTTTTTTTAGGACATGTATAATAGCTTATCGATACACATTTTCTACCTTTCTTTCTATGAATCCAATCTTCATATTAGTTATTGGAGGTAAAACGTAATGAAATCGTAACAGCTGCCTTGCAATTTTTTTCTGTTATAAGAGTCCTTTTTAGCGTGTTATATGAAAAAGTTTACAGTTTTTCTCCCATATTAAGCGAATTGATTTTATATGAAACCGCGTTATAGGCAGATTGGCTGTGATTGAAAATCCACTCAAGTTCATGTCTTGCCCTGTCTAAAAACGCTATGCAGGGTGAAATAACAGGGGGACATGTATTACTAAATGCGAATTCAACAAAATAGATTTAGGTAAATAGACTATTTTTTTTTTAGCTACTCCTTATAGTCTCCGCCTGGAAGGGTTGTGACCATTTCTCAGAAAAATCATTGAGAAACGCTCTGTAAGTCGGAAATGCTTCCAAAACCCTTAACAACCATCTATGCGGACTTGAATAGAAAGCTATCAACCTAAAAACAAATAAAAACATTATAGTTCACTATTCCACGTGAGACAGAGATATTTAAGACACCACTGCCAGTACGATCCAATCGATTCTTTCTGAAAGCCTGGAAAGAATTGTAGAAAAGTTCCATCGAATGGAAATCAGGCTTCAACTAAGAAATTCGGAAAGTAGAGCGAATTATCGAGTGTAGACACCTAACATTTTGGTAAATGAATGGTACTGGGCCTGAAGAAACATTCAGTTTTTGGAGGGTAAAAGAGCAACCGAACTAATATTACGGAATCGATTCCGAGAAGTCAATTCCTTAATTAAGGATCCAACAGACCGTAATGATGTATTTAGCAAAATTTCCATATATTCAGTTGGAAGTAATACTTTAACACACGAGATAGCTCTAGATGCAGCCAATTTGAAAATGCCTACACGCTTAAAATTCCAGATAACATGTATGTTATCCACAGAGCCACCTTTGACACGAATATTGCCTTTCTGGGAGGTCCTGTCGACAAGCAGATGTCATTCCTACTATAAACAATGGGATTTGCAGATGGAGAGCTTTGAGTTGGCGCGAATATAGAGGATGTGACCACACTTATGCGTGCAGCGTGGCGAGAAAGACGGATTTGTTAATTTTACTAATATTATTAGGGGATGTACACACATGGGATTAGATGGGATACCCTTGCCATTTCAGCATATCGATAACGAGGCGGGCTCCCAATTTATTTCATTAGCGGCCAACTCGATGAAAACGGAAAAGCTTACATACGAGGATGGAGGCGAGGATGGAGCACTCAAATGAGTCGACTATTCAGATTTAGGCGAAGGTGGTGTTGAAGTACCACCCGTTACACTCTCACAGGCTGGGGGAGAAGGTTTGTGTTCCGCAGATAATGAATCATGCAGATTCAGGTCTGTTTTTATTCAACATGATGTAGACAAGATTATAGACAAGACAATTGACAAGAGATTGAAAAGGGAAGAGAAAGAAGGATTGTGAAAAAAAAAAAAACATAACAACATCTTCGTCGATGTTATCAAAATGTTGAGCTCTGTCTTTGTTAGTCTGTTGGACAAAAAAATGTGCTACTTAGTTGGCCTTAACCAAAGTACTAAATAAACGAGAAACGAGCCTTTAGTTAGAGGTAGTACTCATAAAACTGTAAAATAAACAGTAAAACAATTCCTCTCACGTCGAAAAATATCTTCCATAAAAATTTAATTTTAACAAGTCATACTAATGTGTAGCAGCGTTATGCTAAACTTAGCTAAACAGAACATTAAAAACATATATTAATAACACAATTACCTGAAGTATAAAATGCAAATGAATTTAGTTCACTGCAGCACGAAAAGTAATCCACGAAAGCAACAAATTCTAAAATGACATCGGCAACGACGAAGAAAGGGTTGTTACGTTAGCCTGTTCTATGGCCGCAATGTGGTTACCAAGTAATTAAGTTAACTGTAGCTGTCATCAATTACTCCCGCAAACACTCGCTACTGTAAGCTAGGGTTTATTTATCCAGCGGACAACTTTGGTAACCTACATACATAACCAACTTATTGCTCAATCACCATCTTAATTACATAGTGTACAATCGCATTGACATAGTTTTCTAATTATCATTCTCTTCCGTCTACACTTTCTTTAATTTATTAAAGCTTCATTGTAATCACCACCGTCGTGTAAGGATGAGGATACATTATATTGTCGCTTCGTAGCCATGTTCAGCTTATAATTTTTAATCGATTTAGCTAAGTCCCTCTACATACATATGCGGGGGAAAAGCTTATGATCGAAAAAACGCAATTAAAAAACTTAAACTTCGCAACACCCTTTGTTAACTTAGTTAAGTATAACCTGTTGCATCTAACACACATTAACCTAAAATTTAATACAAGCATTTTTTCGTTTCAAGTAAGAGAAAAAGAGAATAAAAGTTTTCTTCCATATTTTTGTATGCGCAATTTCTTACATATAGACGTTGAAGTTTATTCAGTCGTACTAGCTGAGGGCGGATTTAAAATCATTCTGACTTACTCTCTTTGTAGGGCCTTGCTATTAAGAATTTATGCATTAAAAGATCAAAAAATTAATAAATCGCTTATGCCTACATATGCAGACAGACATACTGCATTCCTACATATTCCATTGTTCGGAAAGTAATTTCCTTTTTTCTCGTCAAATTTTCTTAGAGTGGCATTCCCCATCTTCATAGTCGGTCGAATTCAACAAGTTTAACTTTTCAGAGACCTCGCGAATTGTTATCCGGCCGTATTTGTTCATCGTTCTGTCAATATACCTTGTCCACACATATTCAATGATTTTCAACTTGCTTGAACAGTTCTTACTTTTTTCACAGCAGAAAAATACAATATTCCGAAATTTTACTTTCGAGAGTGTGCATATTTGACTAACATTGCATACAATGGAATGAACGTCTTCGGAACCAAGCTTTGCTGTATAAACTATCATAATGTATATCCATTATGATTACAACGCGCTTCAAGCGTGAAGTGGACTGTAAAAAAATACAATTAAATTAGGAAAAAAAGAAACGAAATCGCTCTCCGAACAACCATATGGAATGTAATATATGCATACATTCTCCAAGCTCTTTAAACTTATTGAGCGCTTTATAAAGTTTCTTATTACACGCTGCAGCCCTTGTGCTACTGTGTGTATTAAGTTTGCGTGAGTTCATACAACACCCAGAAGACCATTTATCAATCAATTCAACCAATCGATTCAAAACCACTTTCTGTGCCCGTCTGCTTGTCTGTCTGTCCACCTGATATGTGCTCATGTACTTTTGTGCTCAACCTATAGATCGCTATTTTTACGAAAACTTGACGAAATTGGATGCACCGAAGAATTTTGACTCTTCGGATTGAACCACTTTTTCGATCACTTCCCACATAATGCTTTACTCTAAAAAATAGTTATATAAATATCTCTGTCTCACGTGAAATAGTGAACTATAATGTTTTTATTTGTTTTTAGGTTGATAGCCTTCTATTCAAGTCCGCATAGATGGTCGTTAAGGGTTTTGGAAGCATTTCCGACTTACAGAGCGTTTCTCAATGATTTTTCTGAGAAATGGTCACACCCCTTCCAGGCGGAGACTATAAGGAGTAGCTAAAAAAAAAATATTCTATTTACCTAAATCTATTTTGTTGAATTCGCATGTAGTAATACATGTCCCCCTGTTATTTCACCCTGCATAGCGTTTTTAGACAGGGCAAGACATGAACTTGAGTGGATTTTCAATCACAGCCAATCTGCCTATAACGCGGTTTCATATAAAATCAATTCGCTTAATATGGGAGAAAAACTGTAAACTTTTTCATATAACATGCTAAAAAGGACTCTTATAACAGAAAAAAATTGCAAGGCAGCTGTTACGATTTCATTACGTTTTACCTCCAATAACTAATATGAAGATTGGATTCATAGAAAGAAAGGTAGAAAATGTGTATCGATAAGCTATTATACATGTCCTATAAAAAAAGACGGCATTATCGAAAGACCATAAAAACTTAAATGACTCGAACAAAACTTACACACGGTATGAATCTATCGTGTTGCTATTGTTTCACTTTATCCCAAATTCGTCTTCGTCGTATTAGTAGAACATTGATTAACAGGGCACACGTTTCACGGTTTGTTTGAATGATTTGTCCTGATTTTTCTTAAAACGAAACCCGCGAAACTTGCGTCTGCAATTCAATGTTTGCTTCTTCATATCTAGGGAAACGGGTATTGAGTTATTGTTGAAAGAACTTTATGTGATGAAATAAGGAGAAAAGTTCGATCAACAAGAATTTTATATTATTATTCACACCTGCTATAATGGATGAATATGAGACCTTTTCATATAACTTGTGCCCATTTTAGTTAGCGAACATATAACAAGTTTCTTATAACTTCTCGAAGGGAAAATATTACCTTTAAGTTTTACATAACGACACGAATTATCCCGCTGAAGCCTATGCACTATTTTTACTTACGGACTAAGAAAGATAAAGAGGGCAATCGTTACATTGCTCAAATTAGGGCCACTAAAGCCCGACACAACTTCTTTTATTTCAACTAATAATTTAAAATTGGGAAAAATATTTTAAAATATGTGAAAGTTAAAGTTTATTTAACAAACATGGAGCAGCGCTGAGGAGGGCATGCAAGCATGGCATTAAGTTTTCTAGACATAATTTGGAATGATTAATGGAAGATATACAAGTCATGTGTTTGCACGCATAAATAAATTGATGTTAAATGTTGAGCAATACACAAAATATCATGAACAGTAAAACATAATAAAATAGTGCAAGTACGAGAAGGATATAATAAATAAATGAAATTGTTTAAGTGCACATATTTTCCAATATCTTACGAAGTTTCATCTGTACGTAAACGACTTTCTGATATAAATCGTTAGACCAACCGTGCTTCATAATCGTCGGGAACAGGTATGTGCGAAAAGTTTTTTTGTGGTCCATATAAGTGATAGCGCTCATACGTGGACATAAAATAATTTTGATGTGATCCGCAAAATTTATCTGTGTTGTACCATTAGTTAACTGCATGATTAGCGCACAAGTAGTACGAAACCATGAGTGCAAATGCGGCATACGTGATATCTGATCATCTTCAAGATTAATATTATTTGCGCCAGCCTTTTCTAAATTTTGATTCATATAACGTTTAAAACATGACAATAATTTCATTTTCTTCTCTAAACTCGCGCAATATTTTTTATTCGTCATGTACGTCTCCTTTTCTTCCTTATCGATGTAGTGCACATTAATTCCATTGGGCAATAGAATAAGCGTGGTGGCATCGTTGAACATAACACCAATGCCGTCGTCGCATAATTGATAACCAAAACCATATTTATCGGAGTAATCCACCCACTTTGATATCCAAAATAATGGCCGAGCAGCAGGATCAGTATTTTCTTCACATAAATTTCTGGGTAATATACGGGGTTTGGCTTCAATAAGTTTCGTCAATTGTTGATTTAAGCTTTCTATATCAACGTGATAATCCTCATTACACTGATAAGCGCTAACCCATGTGGTAATCGCGTCTTGCAAGTTGTTTTTAAGAAAAGTGGATTCGTACGTATCATCGTCACGTACGGCATTTATTTCGACTAGAGGCTTTCTTTGATTATCCATCTCAGATGCTGAGGTACTCTTTGTTTCGAGACGTGGTGACATTGTCAGACAAGACGTGGGCAAAAACTTTGGGACCGGCACGCTGTTTAAAAACTCAAATTGCAGCAATTGATGAATAGTGGGTCGATCGCTGGGATTTAACCTCAGCATTGAAACAATCATGTCAGACGCCGATTTACTTATGTAACTTGGCATTCTGTAATCACATTTCCTAATTTTTGAATAGGTGTCCACAAGCGTTCTGGTTTCGAATGGCGGTTTGCCAACTAATAAAGTGTACATAATGCAACCAATTGACCAAATATCGACTTCATAAGAGTGTCCTTTTTTGGTGAGAATTTCCGGTGCTATGTAATTCGGTGTGCCGCACAAAGTCTGCTTACGTTGGCCCTCATATTCGACACGTGTGGCCAAACCAAAGTCTCCAATCTTCACGTGTAGGGTATCGTTTAAAAATATATTTCCTAATTTTAAGTCGCGATGTATTATGCAATTTTCATGCAAATACTTCACACTCTGGATGATTTGATATATATAATAGCGGCATTCATAAGGAGTTAAGGCCTTTCGTCGTTTATGCAATTCCATCATAGATCTGTTTTTGCATAACTCCAAAACGATATAAATATTATAATTGTCTTCGAAAAATCCATGAAATTTTACGATATTAGGATGACTCAAAGACCTGTGTATGGAAATTTCTTGCGCTATTTTCTCTTTGTGATCATTTTTCATTAATAGTTTTTTCGAAATAATTTTACCAGCGTAGACTTCATTTCCCGCCATATCCACTATTTCGTAGCAATTTGCAAACCCACCTTTGCCAAAAAATCTCATAACTTTATAAGTTTTATCATCTGAGCGATCGCGTAACACTTTTGGTATTTCTCTACGTTTATTATTGCTTTTCGATGACATCTTCCTGTATTCTAAAACTTTTTCTTTTTACAATAAACTAAGAAAAATTGGAAGTTTTACTCAACGCCTACACGATTGAAAATTTCAAATGTCTGCTTCTCCTCCCAGAATTCAACTGGTTAATAATCAACTCAACAGGACCAATCATGTGATTACGTATGGAAAATTTAACTTTCGCTTTCACAACAGCAGATAATTAACTATGTAATGTGTAGAAAAGATTGGGTGAAAACATCGAGTTCTTTTCCGGACCCTAAACTATATTAAAGGTAGCGGTCAGTTTTCATACTATATATATTTTCAGTATATATGTTCGTTTCGCGTGTTCTCGCGTCCGTCACGTAGGTACGATCATTTTATCGCAAACATTTTTTCATTATTTTCAATTATTTACTTAGTTCATCATACTCTACAGCAAATGCGCTCTACTTTCCTAATTTCTTGGTTAAAGCCTGATTTACATTCGATGGAATTTTTCCATAATTCTCTCCAGGTTTTCAGAAAGCATCGATTGGATCCCATTGGTGGCGGTGCCCTAATTGCAATATCTGCTGCAGTCCCGGCTTATCCAATTGAATGAAAACAAGTATAGTTGAATAGATGTAAGGGCTTCAACGCCCTAGAGACTATGTACGTTGTTGAAATGAAGAGTATAATAAACGTTGGAGATTAGGTAGGGCAGCAGTCTATGCATTAGAGAAAAGTACTGCGGAGTTGAACTTACTTTGTTCTAATGTACAGGAAAGCCGTTTAAAATAATACAGTCTGATGCGTAGGAGTTAGTCAAAGGAAATCCCTTTGTTTATTAATTGAAAGACAAATCCATGTTATAACGCATATAAAAGGAGATGCGCAGCCGTGTAATAAACCACTATGGTAAGAAAATTACATTAGGAACCCTTAAACCCGATTCTCGCATGTCCACCGCTATGTTCTTCGCAATCTACTTTCCAAGTTCCTTTATTTGATAACCATATCGCTCGTATTATTAAGAAAAAATTGATTCACCAGAACCCGGTCTCCACATTCGCTCTAAAATGAACCTATTTTTATGCAGATATTATATTGTTATGAAATTCGCTTTTTACAAGATACAGTCCGTATCACTGGATCGCGGATATTTTGATCAAGAGAAATACACGTCAAAGTTCTTTGACTTGCAATTATATTCTTTAACAGTAGAATCCTTTATTTACAATTATGTTCCTTTAATGTAGGATTATTCATAATTTATTTTGGCCGTACTCTCTTCTTCTATGTTCTTGCCGGACTAACTTCCCCTTCCACAAATATTCTATTTATATACATTTTTACAAGCATGTTACTATACCTATATTTATGGTTTTATTTCTATTCCCAGCCTGCTTTTCCGCTAATCGTTTTCACCGGCCTGCAGCTGCGTGAGGCGCCTGCGAATGCTCATTTGGTTTTCCCTTCTTTAGGGAATTTATTATTAGGGAAAATTATTTAGCTGAAATTCACTGGCTTCGGGATTTTCGTAACATTATCTTCATATGAGGAATGTACAAAGTAGTTTTAAACATTGTGCCTTGTTTGGATTATGATAAATAGACATAAAACCGCAAAAAAGTGAAAAAAAGAAAATTTAGTTACTTGTAACTTTGTATGGGCATGGTCCCTTTTCTCCCTTTTTGCACGTAAAGGTTAGAATGGTTCGGGAAATTCCAGTCTTTCAGCTTTAACTATTTCCGAGTAACCGGTAAAAACCCACAAATTTATATTCAGAAAAACGATTGTTCATTTTACCCTTCGCTGCGGGCATCTGCTCTGACCAATTTGGCCAATTTTCATTTTGCGTGCAAAAACCTCAAATGTTTCTACCAAATTTGAAGTCGATATCTTCACTTTTGTGATCAGGGGAATGGCAACACCAAACGCCACATAGATACACAGACACATGGGTACACAGACGGACAGATATGGCTAAATCAATTGAGAATTTCACACTGATCAGGAATATATATACTTTATACATAATCTGAAGCTTTCTTTTGGGTGTTACATACATTATGGAAAAAAAAAACTGATTATACCCCCATCTTATGGTGATGGGAACAAAAAAAAGAAATAAAAAAAATTATACACACAAGTGAAAACATTATAGTAGGCCACGCAAAATACCCTGCAGTTTTCATCGACTTTTCAAAATAAGGTGCTATATGGAAAGTGATCGAAAAGTTGTCCGATCTGAAGCATTTTCAATGGGGTTTGTCCCTGGCCCAAAACCGTCAACGTAGCAAGTTTCATTAAAATATTGGAAAATTTTCCATGTGTAGGTTGAACGCAAGAAAACAAAACGGACAGATGGACCGACGGGCAGACTTGTTTCAATAGTTTTTTTGATATGATCGGTGTAGTGAAGCAAACACAATATAACAAGTCGCACAAACGGACAGAGGGACTTAAATCGATTCAATTATTATCTCAAGTCTTTCACAAGCTTAATGTACCCTTGTATCAAAAGTGGCGCAAAAGAGGTCTCGATGAATTTTGTAAACAGAAAAATTCATTTTAAAATTTCTTTTTAAAGGCATTCTGCAATATTGCAGATTATTTATATGAACATATTCTCTGTTTAAATAAGAGAAACATATAAAAAAAAAAAAAAAATATATATATATATAAACCAATTAAATATTTTAAATATTTTTTAGAAATATATAAAATATTCAACACTGGCATCTATAAATGTTGCCATTCGATTGCACATACAAGACGAAAGAGATTTATTGAAAGGAAAGTTTCCCGCCCGTACTCTGCCATATGCTCCGCGGAATGGGAGTTTGACAAAGGCTTTTGTTCATTTTTTCATGCTTCCCTTTATGTATTCATTTGAATTTGCAAACATTTTCTATGGATGTTTTTAGTTTTATTTATATGGCTTTGTGCAATCTTTTTCTACTTTATTGCTACTGATTGCAGTTTTACAAAATGCTACTGCTAGGGTAGAAGCACTTATAGCAACAACGCAACTAGCAATGACCTTTCTATGGCTCTTAATTTAACTTGGGAAAAAAGACGTTAAATATTTTCTATGCTACACTATTAAACAATTATTTTTAGACACTATATCGCGCAATATAATAATAAAATAGTTATTCACTATGTTTCTGACGTTCACGTATAGGTAAGAAAATTACACTATTCTCCTACTGATCCGAGTAATCATCAGTGATTAAAGCCAAAGAAATATCGACATGGAAGAGAGCGGTATGATTTTTATTGCAGATTTAAACTTTCAAATACCTTTGATCCGGTCAAAAGACCGGTGAAAAAAGCTACAAAGTTTAACATAAGAAAAATTGTCATTGTTTCAGAAAGTTGACAGAGCACCATGCAACCAAATTATTCGAGTCACTTTGAAGCTGCTGTGACTGCGGTTCTACGGAGAAAGAAGAAAACAGTTACACCTCATCAGCATACATTAAGATGTGGCTGGAATTAATCACCGATGGGAGCTCGATAATATATAGACTAAAAAAGATGGGATCTAAGTGGCTGTCTTGAGGTACGCCAGACGTGACGGGGAATTCATCCGAGGTGACGAAGTTAAACAAAACCCTGAATGATCTACGGTGCAGTTAAGAGCTTATCCATTTTACTAAATGGAAAGGGAAACCAGAGGCTTGGAGTTCAAAGATAAGGAAGTTATGGGTAACCAAATCAAATGCTTTGCTTAAATCAGTATATATTACACCCGTACAAGAGCCACTGGAAAAAGCCTTGAAAACATGACAAGTAAACTCTAGTAAATTGGTGACCGTAGATCTTCCTCTCTGAACGCCATGCTGGTGCGGGGAAATAAACGAATTAATGGCAAAGGCCAAATGCTGAGTCACAATTCGCCCGAACAGCTTACGCAAGACACACAACGTGGCTATCCCTCTGTCCACTTGCACTTTTGTGAATAGGGATAAGAAAAGTACTCTTCCAAGGCAAAGGGCAAACACCTAAACGCAAGGACTGGTTAAAAATCTTCGAGATAACGCCACATAGCTCAACAGCGCAAGATTTAAGTACACATATATATATATATATATGTAAGAAATATCTAAGTGCTCTATAAATAACAAATCAAAAGCACTTAGGTGCAAAAAGCATAAGTAAAGCTGGGCAAATATTTTCATTTGCACTTGCATTCGGATCTGGGTAGAGTTGACTATCGCATAGAAGGGGACGATGTCCGCGGAATTTGTTTTCAATCAACAATACGTTGGGAATAAAAAGTTGTCATAGTTACCTTTGAATTCGATGAATTAACTTTCCTCCTCTCGTCGTAACGCACATAAATTGCTTTAATTTTTTATTGATTCTGTTACGCATATCGTAGGATTTGAGTATATGTACCTCGTTTTTCTTCGACTGAGTAAATCAACAACAGCTCGACTGTAGATATACAGTTATAAATATATATATATACATATATTTAATTGTATGTATGTACGCCTAGATCATCTTTCCAAAGTTTCAATTATTTACCAAAAGGAGTTGATTAACTCTAAAGGAAACCTGCAATATATTTCTTAAGTATATTATTAATCGATATGGCTCTAATGTAAGAGCTTTAGAGCTTTTTAATGCCATGATTCCTTAAACTTCATCCTGTCCCTGGCGAGACCGTTCGTGTTGCAGTCGAAAGTCTTAATCCTCCAGCTTAGTCCTCCTAGGCTCATTGACTCCCTGCCTTAAGCGGTGGTGGACGGTAGTACGACGATTAAAATCAGAGAGAAGGAGGAAATGAATTTTGCTACCTTCTCAGCTTTGGAGGGCCATACGTTTCTAGTTCTTTCGCCAAATATATGGCGTTTGATTTTGAAGATAGCCGGGCATTCTTAAAAAATACGATTGAGCATTTCCTTCGCAAGTCTGTATGCATCGATATTCGAAACACCTTTCCTTAGGCAGTCATGGCCTGCGTAGAAGCCAACTTCAAGACGTATGTCGCTAACTCTTAATTTCAATATTTCGTGTGCTCTACCGGAAAATTTAGTAAATATTCCAAATTGCCGTTGCCACGCCCTACGCTTCCAATGGCTCCTCCAATCACTCCTCTCGTTTCGTTTGATGCCTGGAAGTCCAGGTAGCTGTATTAGGCACACACCGTTGTGCTTTCCTAGATCATTGAGGATTTGAAGTCATTTACCCACAGCTTAGCTGTTATTGTTTGCCCTAACAACGGACATAAGGGGAGCTTTTACTAAATCTGACCAAAACTATACATACTTGCTGAAGTTTGTTACACGCAATGTATGCTTCACTTGGCTCTCTACCTAAGGACTTTCACTTAACATCTAAGTTTTTCTTTATCCTCATTTACGATTTCTTTCAAACATTTTTATTGTGGTAAAGAATAAAAATGTGGATTGACTTTTGCATCTTTTCAACCATAAACTGCAACTATTTTCTCTTTTCGAAATTCATCCGAAAAAGTTTCATTATTCATTACATAATCACTGAATACGTAAAACTAACATAACAACGTTTTTTTTTCTTCTCTTTTTACAAAATTCATATAATGGCTTATGGCTTCTGCAATACTATGATCTTTTTGATGATAAATGTTGGCAATTTGTGTTTATCTTAACGTACGACAATAGTAACAGCAGCTTATGGTAAGAATGCATTTTATTACTGAAAAAAAAGAAAAAATCAGAGGGAAAATTTGTTAGTAATAGTTATATAAATTGTGAAGATTAAAAAAAGCAGAGGAAAAAATAGAAAAGCGAAAAGGAAACGCAGACGAAAATATTTTTAACTCCTGACAACTAAAATCACCAAACAAAACTGTTAGCCCAAACCCAAACATCAAGTAAATAGCGAGCCGTTACCTAACAGATCGATCAATAATTCCCCGGACTTAACATAAAAAAAATGCATCTTATTTTTAAAAAATTGCGGATCGATCATTCGTTTACGAGTCACTATTGCTGCAGTTCCTTTCCAATAAATATATTTGAATTTTGTGTTATCACTTAACAATGTTTTCACCGACAAAAGATGTCGTTCAAACTCTTGACTTAGTAAATGTAATTGAAACTCCTCTCTCTCGAAAAAAAAAAAACAATTTTTCGGCTCGTTTGCTGATTTCAAACGAGCTCACAAAGAAACTATGATAATAGACGTAGTGACTGCCCAAGTGAAAACAACAAAAAACGTGAAAACTTTTTTAATAATTAAAAACTGAAGCTGTAACAAATAACTGACATCCCAAGGATATCAGTTGGCTATTTTTTAAGTGGGTAACACGTTTACTACTGGTAGGTCTTCAGTGTACTACTGATCCGGATGGCTGCTTGAATCTGGTTAACTGCAATAAAGAAGGTTTTGTTATGCTATATGCATGACAAAATGGAACGGAGCATGGGTCAACCACAGTCTTGCTCAAACAATGCCACCGCGCCCAATGTGTACATTTTTTAAAGTCGAACATACACATATACCACTCCTTTTCTCATCTCTTTCTATATGTAATATTTCTTAACCATCATCGTGCCTGTATAGGGGGCATCCTTTGAATGGCTGATCACATAAAAACGGCTGAAGCGGGACAATGCGATCAGAAAGGTTACACTTAGCCAGAAAAGTCGTGATTTTCTCTTATGTGGGTGCGCAGGATATTCGCCGATTATCTTCAAATACGAAACAACGACAATTGAGTGGCACCTTTGGTTCGATTGAAGCGCATGGCATATAAAAAAAAGTTTTCTTTCGTCAATATAACAGACCGTGTCTCAAGTCGATTGCTATAACTTCCAAATTGCTTACAGTGAAGTTCGAATTGCAACACATTCTTCACTTATAGGTGTCAGCGGCTATTGTTTGCTTGCATATCGCGAAAGAATGTTCGAGGTACAGTGATGTGGATCCAATGATGAGGTCATTAGAGAAACTGAATTGTATTTTGCGAGTCTTAACAAATCGTTGCAATAAAATATGTAACGAAATGTCATAAAAGCCTCGTTGTTACTCTATTACTCTTTACGCTGAATAGAGTTGTATTTCATGGCAGAAATGTTTTCCTTAAGTATTCCCGGGCCTTATTGATCACACATCAACTTTTCGTGGTAAGCCAAAAGTACAGCCAACTAACTAACCAAATGGTGAAGTATTCAGGCGCAGCTAGGTCATCTAACATATTTACCCTGGCTTCCTAATCGAGATAAAATGTCCACATAATCCATGAAAAAAAAAAATGTTTTGATAAAAATAATTTAAATTTCAGCAAAAAGAACCAACTTTTTTGCACAACAAAAAGTCAGCTTTTTTTCGGGAAAAAGGCCAAAAAAAACAAAAAAAATAATAAACGGAAGGAGTGCATTAGAAACGACCCACATTGTTGTTAAACAGAAGAAAGTTTGCAGTAACGCTAGTCTTAACAAAATTTTAATATCAAATGTGTTAGTGAGTTGATTTAAATTAGCGACGAAGAAAAACAGATAATATACTTCCTACGGCCGGAAATATGGTTTACATTGCATAAAAGACTCGGCACTGACGGAAGTAGTGTTGAACTGCTTTTGTTTCCATGCTTAAATAGCACATTGTTTGCCAATTTGTATGTAGCACGAAATAAGCGAAATATAGGTGATTACAAAGATTGGACATGAAAGCGAAAGAAAACCGCAAAAGTAGCAAATTGTAATAAATATTAAAATAAATGACAAGCAAGCGATTTCAATTAAAAACAACTTTATGCTATGCTCCCAAAATGGTTGCAATGCAGGGAACAAAAAAAATGTGGTAAGTTGCTCTGAAGCTTAAGATAGAGCGAGAGACTCGCAGATCAAAGGACGTAAACAAGAGCAAAGAAAAATTAAATGAGAAAATTGCATTCACAAGTTGACAACCGCGATATAAAAATAGATATCCTTGCAGTTACCACAACCATTTGATGGGAATCTAAAGCAGCGGGTTTGGTAGCACCTCCACAGTAGACAGACAATCCTTCGTCAGCGCGTTGACGCCTAACACAAATACAGAGGCAAGAATCTATGTAAACTAACAATAGGTAAACATGGATCAAACTTCAGATGAAGGACGAGGAACTTTTTGTGGCGAATATCAAGTTTTTCGTACCGATCGTTTGTTAAGAGTAGGCCGAGGGCTCTTATGAGTGTCATTCCGTCATTTCGAAGTACGAAGTACAGTTTGCGCCCTCCACACCTGTTGATGGTGAATTTTTAGCAATTCACCGTGAAATTCAATTTAAAAACAAATGTCTCTTCTTCGCATATTCCTTTGCTGTTATATCTGTATATACACATAAAACATCTTCAGGATATATCCTGCCCGTTGAAACGCAAAGATATCTTTATTGTAGTGAATAACTTTAACCTACCTCAAGAGCCTTGGCTACTCTGCGATGATGGAAAAAGACTTATTCCGTTGAATGGCCGCCTCGACATGTTCTTCGATGGTCTCATTTCAACTAAACATATTATGGATAATAATAATGAAATTCTAGACCTAGTGTTTTTTGAGTATGATGCAGTTACTATCCAGCGTTCTATCACTCCTGCAAATCCTGAGGTTCAATATAATCCTACCCTAGAAATCCACCTGTATCTTGTGTATGGCAAATCCGTGCACGCATGGATATTAATCAAAGTTTCAAGAAGCTAACATTCCTATTCTGAAGAGGCTGTAAGTCAATCATGTAATTATCGAAGACAAGTTCGATAGTTCAGCAAATCCAGACTGTAGTCCATTTTTCATTTTGATATTCTACATTTTAGTGACTCGATTTTCCAATTTATATCTACTTGCACAAAGCAAGCAACAGGCACTTGATGGATAACTGTAGAGATGTTCTTAAACTCATCCCGTTACCGGAGTTTCCTGAATAGTGCGGAGAGCATTCTTTACAGCGGAATCAATTATCCCACTTAGTCAATATGGATTCATTAAAACACTGTCTACGCGGACAAACCCGGTTCATCTGCGGTGCGTCTGTACTCTTATCCTATTACGTTTATCCATGGTGTCACCTCCGATGGTCGGTTGCGTTTACACATGCACTGTATGCACCTAGCGGCTGTGCTGCATCTAGCAGCTTCTTTTGGTTGTTGAGCAGGTTGAGCAAAAGAAATAAGACGTAGAGACGGACAAAAAAAGTGAAAAACATAAACTTAATCACTTGTAACTTTGTGTGGTCATGACTGATATTTTCAATTTTGCGCGTAACAAGTGGAGTGCTTTGAAAAGTAAGTGTGAAAAATTTCATGCTTCTAACTTCAATAATTTCCGAGTAACGGGCGAAAATACAGATATCTTCATTTCTGTGACTAGGAGAGTGCCAAGAACTTACCACACAAACACACAGATGGTTGTCAATGTACAGCAACATATTGTGCATTGTAATATATTGATGTAAGATCAATCCTATTTTGCTCTTTGCTCGCCTCTTCAACAAACCTGTGATTAACAAAAATTCCAAACTTTCTTTCAAGTCTTTTCAGTTTTGTTGTTTTACTTTCTTTTTTTGAAGTAAAATTTTCGAAAGCGGCTTACACTAATTTTTTTTTTTTCATTATTTTATTAGTTATAAAAGACAGCAATAAATGCATTTATACAAGATAAAGTATTTAACACGGAATAAACACCATTTTGAATAATTTTCTTACTATTGCTTGAAGGCGGAAAAATATGTAGTTCAATCCATTGCCGATGATGGGGAACACTTGTAAATTCGCTAGTGCGAGCACAATCCCGATCACCAGCCCAGGTAACACCGTAAACCTTACCTACGAAAAAAACCGTACAGGAAGAGTTAAAAGACAATAGTACCCGCTTGTCCATTTTCGTATAAACATCCATGTGTGGACAAATCTCTAGATCACATATGCATATAATCACCTCGACAGAATAATGGACCACCTGAATCGGCTTTACAGGTTTGCCTGACATAAACGTTGGAGGAATATGTGAAAAGTGTATTTCCAATATAAGGAATCTGATAAACCTTTTTTTTTACATAAAGGATATGATTGGGTTTAGGGCCATGCTGTGAATTATATAAGAGCATAAACAAAGAGGAGGAGCTTAATGAATCTGTCAAAGTATCGTAAAACTTACTTGATACATTCGGCCCCAACCAACAGCAGTGCATGTTTCACCCCCATTCAAATAGGCGTCTAACCCTAATTCTGCGACACCGCGGTATCGATTATCAATATTTAGTTTACTGCGAAGTTTTAGTAGCGCAATGTCATTCTTTGAGATGCCGAGATATGCTTGATACTTATAGTGGATGATGATTTGCTGCACTCTTCTGCGTTGAACATTTTTAGATCGTCGCAAACGTCTCCGGTTACCAGCAATTATTCGTAAAGATTTTAGATCCGGTGCCGCTATTTCATCTGAAAAAACGCAGCATAAAAAACGTGCATTAAACGAAACTTGTCTTTATTCGATAGCAAATCCAAATGTTCACCAACGCAGTGAGCTGCCGTTAATACATAGTCCGGCGCTATGATTGTACCGCCGCAGAAATTTCCAGAACCAAAATACTTAGCCCTTCCTGTTGTTTCTAACATGAATACCACGTATTTTGCATACTCATCATCGATTTGTGGACGAAAGCCCCCAACAATCCGCTCACCACGCGATGAGTTTCTATTCAACATTTTTGTGAAAACAGGATTTAATAACAAAATAAGAAGAAATTTCAATAAAAATGTTTTCATTCCTGACAATTTTTGTTCAAAATAAAAATAAATAATACTGTTCTGCGACCCAGCAAATCAACAAACAAATGATTCGCTGAGTAAAATAAAAAAGGTTCGATGCGCATGCGAATGTCTTTGTTTGAACCTTAAAAAAACTGGCAGGTGATTTGAATATGAATGTATACAGTTGTATACACAAAAAGTTATGAGTGTTATCACATTCCTCAAGTTACCGATTAAATTTTTTATTTTTGTATATTTTTTTTTATATATCTCGAATTTAGAAGACGATATGTTCATCAATTTTTTTAATTTTTGTTTCAAAGGATTACAGGAATGGCGAATAGAAGTGAATTCTTTTGGGCGGAATGGCTGCTAGCAGACCGTAAATGAAAAGTAAGGTCTGGCCTTTGAATAGCTGTGAACAAAAATTTTCCAACAGGAAGGAGAGGAATGGCTGTTGGCAGATCGTAAATGAAAAGTAAGGCCGGATGATTCTCATTGAATAGAATTTGATTAGACAAAAAATTGGGGAGTAAACGAAATCTTTTATGCAGAGGCATAAAAGAAGAAAAGGCCTACCCATATTCCAGTCATCCTTATGTAATTCTAATCCTATTGATGATCAATTTAAAAGAAGGGTTTTTTCAAAAAAAAAGAGCGAAAGAAAGATTAGTCCTGGGACAATCAATGAAATGAACTAAAGCTCGGTCACTACATATAAATGCAAAGTGGCATAAGTCATGTAAGACCTTTAGAAAAGAGTAAGTGAATTTAGCTTATTAAAGCTCCGTCTGCACATCTTTAGCGTTTACGGTTTTCCTTGTTTAGGAAAATTAACTTACCTTTCCCTGTAGTCACTCAAAATGTGCAAGATCATCAACCTGGTGAATATAAAGCAGAACAACACGCGATACTATGTAAACGGAGAAAATTAAACGAAAATGTATGAAATCTAAAAAAGAAATTGACCCACACGAGAAACGGCTTCCAATGACTCTTTAACATAATTTTATGGTCACGTAAAGGAAATTATTTTAAAAGATACTTTAGAAACTTATAATGCCGAGAAGTTAGCTCATAATACAATGCCATCGTCTAAATGCAAAATGTCTGAATAAAGCAGAGTTCCACACATTGGATAGAATTGAAAGTACATTCTTACATCCTTAACATCCTTAATCCTCAGGGTACCGTAAAAAAATGATTGTGTATATATTTAACAACAGATTGTCAGTATAAAAATTACAAAAAGTGCGAAGGCGGTGCGCGAAGCAGACGTCCAAAATTTCTAATAGAATTTTAAAATCATCGATGGCTCCGACTCGAAACCTACTCAAATGCTCCATTGTTTCTTAATTAACAAAACGAACAAAATCCTCGCTTTATTTCACAGTATGCTTTGTGAGAAGCAGTGTGCAGTAAACTGTAATTGTTTTCAACAAACCACTTTCAACACGTGTCAGTTTTGCTTTTCTTTCCGAATCTGAAATTCGAATTCCCTTTTCCCTTCAATTTAATCCTTAAGGGCACAGTGTAGTAGATCTGCCTCGCACGTTTAAAACCTCACATCTCCTTATGTAGCAAACCTTTCAATAATGGTTTTTTGAACTTTAATTTTACCAAAACTACTTCATCGTTTCCGAACGCAATTAGAATATTTAACAATTTATTTGTTCATCATCGTTGGTGCGCTATCTGAGTGCGATTTCATTTCGGAGGGCATTGCGGATTGCCATTGTTTGCATAAAAAGTGATAGAAGAGCATGGGAAAAATGGTTTTCGAATAAAAACAAGGCAAGAGTAATGGTTAACATTTATATTTTTGCGTTTATCAATAAATTTATGCAAGAAAAATGTTTTTTTTACATGATGTACATGTACATGAATATGCATTATATGTAAGCTCACTAATCCTAAAGTTGTTTCGTGAAACATTTATTACTATTTTCATATTTTTTTACGCTTTTTCAAATAATTATTCTGTACATTGTTGTTTTAATAATTATGTACTTACAATCTGATTGAATAATTTTCGCACTAATTTCTTACCAGTTCCCATTTTTACATGTATTATGGACAACATCTATCTAGAGATTATACCAATCACGTCAGTTTACACAAGATGTAATAGATCACCTAAATAAAAAATTTTCACACACCAATGCACCTCAATAGACGAGCAAGCGTGTTTAACAAAAATAGGACATGTCCTCAAACATAATTCGCCAAATAAGCCGCAAAAGCTACAAGTTATTTGTTTAATGTAGTCTCGTGGAATACTCTCAATGTTTTGTACCCTGGAAAAGAAGACGAATGAAGTAGACTAGTAGATGGGCCAGACTTACGAATTAGCAATAACGTCGTCTTATGATTAGCCAGAGTGATACCAAGAATGAAGAATCATATAGTGTTTCTTTGATAATTTTTTTCACATCATCGCACTTCGCGTATTGCTTATCACAACAAGTGATCTATCGTGTCGGAACTGCACAACAGAAAGGATTGCCTTGTTATAGACTCGCGGACAAGAGGGATTTAATTAAGACAAAGATTCCGAGGCGAACTTAAGAGGAAAGAATATCTCACCATTACGGTGTTGACTTTTCAGCGACGACGTGGAAAGACAACAACTACTTATATTGGCTCGCGACCGGTAGACAACATCTGTCGATATGATAAACGACTAAAGCAAATGATCGATAACTCTTGTCCAAACGTAGTGCAAGAGTATAATATACACATCGGAGGAGTGGACTTGATGGATTGCCACTCAGGTCAAAAGCCGCAAACGATACCTCCGCCTATTCTACCATCCATTGAATCTTGATGGATCTTCGTGGATACTTATGAAAAAAATTCAAGTCCATTGCAAAGGACATCTTAAACAAAAAACTACTAAATCTTGTCCAATCCGCGAGGATTTCCCCAATGCTCGTTACAGTGTGGATCTTGGAAGAATAAAATATGTGCTATTTTAATAATTGCTTCGATAAAGATTAAGTTGATAAATAGCTCTGTAGTCAGATGTATTTTACTGAACAGAGAAACGAACAGACAGGTAAACGTTTAGGCATTCATTAAGGTCACTACTTCCTTCTTCGCGAAAGTTTCACGTTTGAAATTTCTCTAACCATCATGTCATGCATCAGTTATTTCACACATTTCCTGTCGTCTATACATTCTTGAAATACGAGAACATAAAAACGTACGAGAACGCATAAACTTATGAGACCATAGAGAACCTTTCATTACATAGCATATGCTCTCAACGAGTCATTTATTATTGTTTAGGAACGAAAGGAAAGATGGCCCGATACCAAAGATATTTACTTGCCTAAATCTTTATGAAGATGTCGATTCCAGTAAGAGGCGATTGAAGTTAGAAATATACACATGTTTAGATTTACTGCTCATGCGATAAATGCTTATGTAACAAAGATCCAACAACCTACAAATGTATATATTAAAAAAGTCATATTAAAAAAAGTAGGTATTGCTTGTTAGCTTAAGATAATTGAAGAATAAAATTGTAGAAATGAAAATCATCTGGAGATGGCTGCATTCATCAATATTACGATGATGAGTGGAAAAAAATGTAAATATGAAAATCTATTTCTGTGCGGTTAATGCTAGTGCATGCAGGTGTTCCTTTCGATATCTAGTATCAATGGTTAAATTACAGGCTGTTCAAGTGCCGAAGGGATGTTAATGCAAACTTTAGTAGTTGTATGGATGCAAATATAGCGCCATATCAGCCAATGAATCTGGGACTTTCTCTCCGAACCTATATTCGCAGATAATCGAGCGCTGCCCGTCCTCGAATGCTAGTAGGGCTTCGTATCTCGCCCCCATCACGTTTTCTCAAGATGCATGTCGTCCACAAAGCTGGCGTATTTCTTCCAACGTTCTCTATCTGACATTTTTGATGCTTGGAGCACCCTTCTATCCGTCACCACTATGGCTTCAGTTTCTCCCATGGCAAGTTTCAATTTGGAATTATACAGCCACCTACTTAACCGGCTTAAACTATCGTCAGCTGCAGTCTCGATTAGTGGCATCGACGTTTGCAGCACAATTACGACAATTTCGCTCCTCCTGAAAGCTCCATATTCAGTAGTCCGTCCCGAGTGAGATCCTACAGGAAGGGATCTAAGTAGTATACTTAAAAGGGCTCTTAACAAAATATGACTAGCTCGCCGAAATTGGGGGGTCCATAAGAGAAATTTGCCCTACAAAATTTTTATAATTATTATGTGTTGTAAGTGAAAGTCTAGTGTAATGAGTAAACCTACTTCACCAGCCTGTAGCATTCAAAGCAAATTAGTTAGCAAACATTTTAATAATTAAAATAAACAATATTAATAATAAATTAATAGTAATTAGGTATTCGACAAAATATCTAATTAATGATTATGTTAAATAATATGAATTATAGATTAATACTAATTTAGTTATTGACAAAATAACTAATTTAATTAACAATAACATTTAACTCATCCATTTAAAAACTAGCCGGATGTACATTCGTGTTTTTAATTAAATAAAAAATTTTACAATTTTTTTTAATAAAAGAAATTAAACAAATAACTCTGTTCAAGATGTATAGGTAAATAAATATTACCGCCGCTTTGATAGGATTTTAAACTCTCATGATGGGTTTCGGAACTAGGACGCCTCTGCAAGCTTGAAATTATCGAAGCAGATGTAGTAAGAGCTGCTGAATTTGCTGTAGACTGTTTTCGTAATGATGAAACGGAAAGAAAATGGCGAAAAAAAGCCAAAAGAAACCAATTGGATGCTGATTTAAAGGCTCATCGAGATGTTGTAAACACGCCGGCTTTGGCTATAACATTTTCGCTTTCTCAGTATCGATCTGATTGTCTAAAAATTTTATTTTTTCTTTTTAAAACACTACCCACTTTCCTACATGGTATCCCGCAGTAATCTTGAGTTTT